GCTTACCGAATGCGGACGGTTCAGCATTGCCAGCACAATACTCCTCTCAGGATCCTCGCCTGTTTTGCACATCACGAGACCGTCCCTTCCATTCTCAGCTTCTTGGAACTCTCTCGTCCATCCCGAAGCTCTCCACTCTCCATCTTCACTCTGAACCTTGAGGAGCTCGAGATCGACACCGTCCCTCAACTCATCCACCACCAAGTCGATCCCAACCCCTTGACCTCTTCTGACCACAGAGACCAGATCGTCAATGCTTTCCTCAACTTCTTCCGCAAGAACAAGGTATTCTACTCTACTCTTCTTACTTGTAACCCAAGCAAAAAAAAAACATAGATAAAGTTCAAATATTTTGGTCACGGGTCTCTAGGAAAACGTGTCATTGGATTGCTATACGGCAATTGGACCGAGAAAGACGATGCATGAGGATGTATGCGCCTTGGCGTTTGACAAGGACGCGGACCTTGTGATCTTGGCCTTGGACCTCGAGGCTGACACCTCGGTTCCAGGCCTGTGCAGCAACGTCATCCAGAACTCCCTTTGCTCTGTGGCGATCCTAGTAGACAGGGGCAACCTTCCCCATCTGAGACTCGCTGCCATGAGACATGTGAGGGTCAATGTCTGTGCTATATTCCTCGGCGGAGCTGATGACCGGGAGACCCTCGCTCTCGCCACTCGGATGGCCAGTCACCGGAGCGTGGGTCTTCGCGTGTTGAGGTTCGTAGAACAAGATAACCACATCCCACTCGACGATTTCATACAGAGACAGCTCGACGTCAAAGCCATCGATAGGTTCCGAGAACAAGCCGACGACAAAGAGAACGTCATATTCAGCGAGGTATGTAATGAACATCATCATCATCTATGATATATATATATATATATGTGCGCGAAAGTGAGAAGATGAAGCGTGTGGTAGGTAATGGTGGAGGACGTGACTGGGCTCGTGGACACGTTGAGGAAGGAAGGAGATGAGTACGATCTGATAATGGTGGGGATCAGACATGAAGGGGGGTTTCCGCTGTTGAAGGGATTGTCGATGTGGAGTGAGATGGGTGAGTTGGGAGAGGTTGCCGACTTGTTGGTCTCCAAGGATCTCTCGCTGACGGCCTCCGTTCTGGCGGTGCAGCAACAGCACATGGTTGTCGAGGGGATGCTCGATCACTTCTCTGCCCGGCATCGTCTCTGATCATCTCCATTTCTGCTCTAGTTTTGTTTACAACCTTTTTTGTTTATTTATTATTATTACAAAACATGCGCACTAGGACACATATCAAAACATCGTTGTCTGGTTTAGTCTTCATGATCCCATAACTCATCCACGCTCCGGAAGGGACCGCCGTCCTTGCTCACGAATAGCTCCTCCCCTCCCACTACTCGTTTCTGCACTCAATTCCGTCAAAAAATGGAAAACGAAGGAAAAAAAAAACAGAGAGAAAGGGAGACCTGGTCGGGGATGCAGCTGAGGGCTTGGAAGTCGAGATCAGGGATAATCCAGTCGAAGACTCTGATGTTCTCTTTGATCCTGTCGGCATTTGATGATTTCGGAACCACACTCGTCCCTCTCTGCAGAGCCCACTTCACCAGCACCTGCCCCGGTGTCTTGTTCATCTTCTTCGCTATTCTATCCACTGTCTGGTCGTGTGTTAGATCTCTCTCCCCCCCCCCTCTTGTGATCCCAACGGTGAGTACGCCTGCACCCACCAACTTATATCGTCTTTTCATATCATCTAAGAGCCCCTCCCAAATTTAATATCAACGCCCACATAAAACAAATTTGGGACGACTAACAAGATCCTTGTACAAAGCACTCACGGTAACATGGATCCCATTCTTTTGGGAGAACTCCAACACCTTGTCGTTTCTCCACCCAGGATGCATTTCCATCTGAAGGCCAACAAGATCTCAATGATCTAAACCGACATCGTTAACCCACCTGGCAAACGGAAGGGGCCAACTCGGCGTCTTTTCATATCATCTAAGAGCCCCTCCCAAATTTAATATCAACGCCCACATAAAACAAATTTGGGACGACTAACAAGATCCTTGTACAAAGCACTCACGGTAACATGGATCCCATTCTTTTGGGAGAACTCCAACACCTTGTCGTTTCTCCACCCAGGATGCATTTCCATCTGAAGGCCAACAAGATCTCAATGATCTAAACCGACATCGTTAACCCACCTGGCAAACGGAAGGGGCCAACTCGGCGAAACTGAGAAGCTTGTTGAGCTTTTTAATGGTGAAGTTGCATAGTCCGATGTCCCTAACTAGGTTGTTCTTTACAAGCTTCTCCATTTCTCTCCACACCCCCTCCATATCGAACTCAAGTATGTCCTCCACCCCAGGCGGCCTGCTTGCTCCAGTGAACCTGGCAATCACCATCACCACCACAGCTCGACACAAATATTGGGCACAGATCAAGAATCGCTAAAACCAGCACCTTAGGGAGTAATATCCTGCTAAAAAACGGGAGATACCAGATAGAGATCCAGGTACTCCAACTGGAGCTCCTGGAGGGTATTCTCCAGTGCGGGACGAACCCTTTCAGGAGATAACTCGGTACACCCTTACACAACACAGATGCAGATGCGGGATTTTGTGGCCGCTCATCAGCCGAAACGACTCCGTTTTATGTCCTTCCGGCGTAAACATTTCTTTCGCGCTCTCCTCTTCCTGCGAATCGAGATTCCTTATAAACTCTATCCGACAGACACGTGGCAGGTCCCGAGTCTCTGGAAACCGATGCACACGTGGCGACCGTGGCGGTGGAGTCGTGTGAGAGTGCTGTGTCTCGCCGACACGTCTCCCTTCACTCAATTTCTTCATTTCTCACAGTTTTCTTGTGTCTAGGAACAGAGGGAGTCGAATGAATTACGTAGACAATAATACATCTTTAGCAGAGCTTATACATGAAACAGGACAGCAGTATCATATACATGTGTATATGTATATATCAAAGAATCCAATGTAAAAGATGATAATTTTAGGCTTTTTAGCATCTCTTAAAAAGTGGTGATGTTAGTTTGACCAGACAGAACTTAATGGTCAGAGAGTCAAGGATTGTCTTTGGTTCTTTTACAAGTCTTTTTCTCTTCCCTTTTCACTTTTTGCTAATAAGAATATAAAAGGGGAAATTTGCAACTTTGCATCTGGGAACCACTAGGATCCGTTTTTGTTTTAAAAAACCATATACAATGATGTTAGGCCCAAAAGAAAACCTACATTGAATTATATTTATTTGTTTAAAGTGGAGGAATACTTCATAATTGTTTCGAGTGGCTGAATGAATCAGATTTAGGGGAATGCAAGCGGCAGTGAATCACCATATTTAGAGATTTCTTTTTCTTCGGCCCGAAGGCAGAGCTTCTCGTCTCCCTCCCCATCATCATCTACGCGGCGTACGTCTCTCTCCCTCTCTCCTAAGTTTGTAGTCGAGTTAGAGTTAGCCCCAAAGGAAAACCTATGTTTGTTGTCGAGTTTTCATGGCGGATTCTCTGGTTTGTTTTTTTTTTGTTCCGTCGTTTTATCGTTTTCTTTATACATCGGTGGTTGTGTCTTGCTTCGTCGTATATTTTCCTTCGGACATTGTTTGTTCTCTCCCGTTTTTGACTAGAATGCTGCTGTGTTAGGGTTAGCGCTGGGTCTTTCCCCGCCGATTTTCCGCTTTTCATGGCGGAATTTTTTTAAATGATATATGTATCGTTTCCCCTGTCTCTTGCTCTCTCGAAGAGAATTTCTTGATGGTATGTTTGTTCATTTGGTTTTGTTCTGAGATAATGCGGTGAAGTTTTTCGCTGCGCAAGGTTGAGAATTCCGCTTTCGTTTTTCTTTTGGATTGCAGTGTCGCGAGTGCAGTGCTCTCGCGTTGTACTGTTTGTTCGTTTGAACTTTGCGTTTACTTCGTTTCGCCACCGGTTTGATCATTTTACTCCAATCTCTTAATCTCTAGTCGGAAATCGTTTTATGATCTTATAACTTTGGATGAAACATGTTTGGTTCCATTTACCCAAAAGATAAGCACGTTTTGTCTCCTCGAGCTGTCGGTAAAACGTACCACACACCTCGTGTTTGAAGATTTTCCCTGTTCTTAGTCTAGAAAGGCACATTCTCACCGTTTCTAGGGTTGATAATTGCTGAGCTCAATGGAAAGGCTACCTGTACGAAAACCTGGCATCGCATCTGTTCTGATTTCATGCCTTCCTATATGTTAGCATATACGACCTCAAACTGTAGAGGACTGAATTTCTAGGTGCACTGTCGATCGTCGGCGGTCTAACCCTTTTCTTCCAATGCAATGCAGGATGAGGCAGGGCAAGGGAAACCAGACATTTGGCAGCTTATCATGCAGAAACCTTCTGAAAAGTCAGCTCGGTGGTGTAATATTTGGTTGCAAACATACCACCATTAAAGAGTGTCTATCAAAACAGATTTTTGGTGAGTCTTCAAGATTATGCCGGGACGCTTCTTTCTTTCTTCTGTTTAATCTCCTCCATTTCTGCTGCTGTTGGACAAAATTGTTTATTCCTCTGTCGTTCGTCGTCAGTTGTCATGTTACGATGATGCAATTTGGTTTGGAACTATGTTTTACTGGTGTCGGTACCTTTGGTTGGAGTCTGGTTTGCAAGCAATAGTGTATAGCATTATAACTATAATGACAATAATTGGTAACTTCCTGGGTGTCTTATTAGCACTCTAGGCCCATTGTTTCTTTGTTTTTTATGTACTTATGATTCAAGAGATTTGCCTGATAATTCTGACAGGCTTACCCTATAACCACTTCTCATATGTAAGGAAGATTGATATCGGTTTGCCGTTATTTCTTTTCAACTATTCTGACCGGAAACTTCATGGGATTTTTGAGGCTGCTGGTTCTGGCCAGTTGAATATTGACCCCTACGGTTGGACCTCTAATGGTTCTGAAAGGACATCATACCCAGCACAGGTACTTCAAAGAAATTTTTCATCTTTTATGAATATGTTTGGTAGATTTTACTCATTCAAGACGCATGAAACTTGTCACTGCAAGATAACACCCATGACATATATATGCTGTTTTGTGTTGTTCAAGGTTCAAATCCGTGTTCAGTTACAATGCGAACCCCTTACAGAGGAAATATTCAAACCAGCAATTGCGGATAACTACTTCAATCCTCACCATTTCTGGTTTGAGCTAGATCACGTTCAGACAAATAAGTTGATCTGTTTGCTAGCTTCTTTTGCGGTAGCACCTAGACCTTCCCTTCATACAACGAAGTCAAGGCCCATTTTTCGTGTAAATTCCTCGAGTGAAACGAAAGAGGATAGTAGTGTGGTTAAGGTTGCTGCTTTGGGGCCTGAGGTCTCCATGCATGTTGAACCTTCTATGAATGAACTAGAAGATAGCTTGGGAGAGGTGGCCGATTCTGGTGGGAAACCTGACTCCTTATTTACTGCTTCAATTCTCGATATAGACAACTCTATCTCTGGAAATCATTCAGATGCACAGAACTCTGAAGAAAATGATAGGGATTCTGAGAAATTGAAGGATCTGACCCTCGGACATGAGCATGGATACGTGGCTCAAATGGAAGCAGTTGAACATTCCAACCTTGTAGCTTATGCGAACCTGGACAGAGATACTCTACAAGAGCAAACATGCTCTGAGGAAAAAGCTGAAGACAGGTCTTCTGTCCCATCTCACTCTTGGTCTGTCATTGATCAGGTACTTGAGGATCAAAATCTGGTTATGCTAGGAATCTGATTGTAAGCACTCTCAAAATCTTCCTTTCCAGAGAATATGCATACAGCATACGTGGATTCACATCATGGTCATCTCTTTTGTGCAGTTGATGCATGAGATGAATGAACTCAGGGCACTTGGAGCAGAACAAAGTACGAAGATATGTCACTTGGAAGAGAAGTTGGTAAGAGCTTAATTTACTGCTGATCATCATAGCCTCCTCCCCTGCGAGATTCTACTTATGTTTGCATATGTTGGATATGGCAAACATTGCTCCGTTGAAGGAAAAATGATGTTGGAATTCTTGCATAGTTGACGAAGAACATGGGCATTAACTTATACGTTAATGCCCATGTTCGAAGATTATACGTTATGTTCATGTAAATGTTTCATCAATTTATTCTACCAGTTTACACTATTTTCTCTCATTTCTAGTCTTCTGTGTACGACTTGATGCCATTTATCATTTCGAACCTGAGCTCAGACTTCGGCTGTGTATACCTTCAGGAAAGATCATACAACATTTCCTTTCTATTTTGACATTTTAGGATGAAGCGGAAAAGAAGATTCAAAGACTGCAAATGTGCTGCAACATGCTGGAATCCACGCCGGGTTCTCTAAACGGTAAAACTAGTGATACGGTGTCTGTGATCAGCTCGCTGGGCGACCCTATGGAGTCAATGCTTCTTTTGGGTGGATATGATGGTGAATCCTGGTTGTCATCAGTGCATTCATATTTTCCATCCAGGAATGTAGTGAAGGCTCATAACTCAATGAGATCCATCCGTTCATATGCTGCAGTCGCAAAATTAGATGGTATAATTTACATGATAGGGGGTGGAGACAGTCACAAGTGGTATGACACAGGTAATTCTTCCCTTTTCTTTTTCTATCCTGATAAAAAGAATGTATTGTTTTATACGGAACCATATGTACAGCATGTATAAAAATCTTTGGCAGCCAAAGGATCACAAAAATATGCTGGTTATCCCATCGACCAACTAGAAGATTACACAGTTCTCCTGGGAAGGGGGAAGGAACTAAATAAAATTATCTAAAACCAAGTGACCAGATGATTTCAGTGAGTTTAATGGACAAGATTGTAAGGGAAGATGTAGTGGAGTCAAATCTGACTTAGATTTCCTCTCTGCACTGCTCATGATACATTCTGCTGCTCGTTGTGATTTCTCCTTTCGCTTTTTATTTGTTCTATTGAAGCGGAATCATATGACATGTCTAGCGATCAGTGGAGTACGTACCTTCCCTTAAATGAGAAAAAAGGCTGTTTAGGTGGAGCTGCTTTGAATGGAAAAATATTTGCTATTGGGGGCGGGAATGGGGTAGATTCTTTCGCAGATGTTGAGATGCTTGATCCAGACATCGGGAGGTGGATCAGAACAAAATCGATGCAACAGAAGGTAAATGATTTGCCGGATCAAAGTATGTTAGATTGACGTAGATAATCTGCATCAGAAGAACAAGAGCGGAGTCTGCCTGATGGCAGCTATGGGCGATATGACCTTTGAAGTAGTTCTTTTGATTGTTTGAAGTTTAAGGGAATTTGACCAAATACCCTTGAAACTCAGTTCCTTCAGTTTTTAAGGGCTATTTACCGGTCAAATAAGGCTGAAATGTTTTGGGTATGGGTTTTACCACAAAAAAATATTTTTAACTATGCTTATGCTTTCGCTAAGCTACTAGCCGTGCTGAGAGAATATCTTGAGTTTTTCATTTTTCTTTGGGCCATTTTCTCACGACTGGATCATTTTTTTTTTGTGTTTTCAGAGATTTGCTGTTGCAACTGCTGAACATAGCCATGCAATTTATGCTGTTGGTGGATTTGATGGTAACGAGTACCTAAAGTAAGAATATAAAGCAACTTCCTTCCTTCTCTTCGTCGCTCGAATCATTTTATGTAATAAATCTTGGTGCTAAATGCTTTGCTAGCGAGACCAAATTGGTGAGAATTTTTTCTTACTCTTCTAGTACAGCTGAAAGGTTTGACCCTAGAGAGCACTCATGGACAAGAATAGCAACTATGAAGTCAAGAAGAGGCTGCCACTCTCTTGTTCTTTTGAATGAAAAATTGTGAGTTTCTTTTCCTCCTTGCTTCTTTTTGTGTATTTATTCCCTTGCCAAACCTTCGCACACAACCGGAGGAGATAACTATGAAATGATATAGTCTATACAATAATCAAACACAATTAGAATTGTTCTCATTTGTGTATTTGTGTTAGACCAACCGCCAGGGCAATTAGTAAATTCTGTTGCCGCTACTAATTGTCATCTACTGGAAATTTTAAGGATAGCATTTATGACTTATGGGACATGAATTTCTGTGTAGCCTCGCTGAGGACTTAACACTGATTTTGGAATCATTTATAGTTTGGCTATGGAGGTTCCGTCCCTAAAAAATTTCTATCTTCTTGAAATTACGTGTTGGTTGGTTTCCGGATCAATGGCAAGGGATTCATGTGATACACTAAGATTACTACCAAATCTCGAGGAACATTCCACAGATTTATGAGTTGTCAACCAATTTCGTACTTGTCCAATATGGGATGGTAAAATTTGTTCACATTTATTGCAGATATGCGATTGGCGGCTTCAACGGTGAGACAATGGTTTCAAGTGTGGAGATATATGATCCACGAAAGGGGGCATGGATGGCTGGAGATCCAATGAACCACATGAGGGGATATTCAGCTGCCGCAGTGGTGAAAGACTCGATATACGTCATTGGAGGACTCAAGGACAAAGAAGATGACATCTTAGACAGTGTACGTTCATTCTTCTTAACTCAGAAAACCAACATAAACATCCAAAACACCATTCTATCGTCAATCCTAAGGGATTTGTTTTGGGATTCAGATGAACAGAAGCTCTCAGTAATGGAATGTCTTTGACAGGTGGAGTGCTTCAAGGAGGGGGAAGGATGGAAACACGTTGTCCAAACATCAATTGGGAGGCGGTGCTTTCTGGCCGCAATTGCTGCCAAGTGAAGACCCCTTAACTGGTAGAGCTCTTTTTCTCCTCTGTTTTTTTTTTTTTTTTTTTTTGCAGAAGGAATTAACATCCTGATGGTACTACCAATGAGTAGCAGGGGAAGCAGTCGTCAGTTCATGATGGGGTTACAAGCTTTTTTTATTGTAATAGCTCCCGGCTTGTCAATGGATGTCGAGACACTTTTTCAGGAGTCAAACCCAGTTAGCCGGAAATTTTGGCTTGTGCTTTGGTTTTCTTAAGGCGAGATTGCTTGAATTGTATACTTCTGTCTCTGCCCAAGAACAGCGCCAGACTTTTGTAAAAAAAAAAAAAACTTCAGTTGAAGTATTGGCAACGGGCGTCGAGTTTGGAGAGATGCGGCCGAAACATGAGTCGGGGGCTCTAACACCGACGATATCACGGAGTCGTCGGAGGTGTTGAGTGACCCAACAGAGGCTAGGGTCTGGTGAGAGGGTGATTCGGTGGATTTCACGCCATCGACGATTCAGACTAGCTTACACTGAAAAAAACAAACTCAACGAATTCCTGGAAGGAGCATCGCTCTTTTGACTTTCCAACCACCGTGGGATCCATGTTTAACATATGGCCTCTGGCACCGGTCTCAATAAATGTGGGCTCTGATGATAGGCCCGGCTAATTGGTGGTTAATTGCCCATAGTTATATAGGATATGCTGTTGGGTATTTTATTTGTTGGGCCAAACAATATGGGCTCTGAACCTAAGAGTAACCATAAGGGGCAAAAAGGGCCTTCGAAGATATATCATATTATGAGTGATGGAGCAGGGGAGGGAGAGGGAGAATCTGGAAGTGAAAGAAGAGGAGGAAAAGAGAAAATGCCGTGCCTTAACATCGCAACCAACGCCAGCCTCGACGGCGTTGATACTTCTTCCATTCTCTCCGAAGCTACCTCCACCGTCGCCAAGATCATCGGCAAGCCTGAGAACGTATAATCCTCTCCCCAACTTCAACTTGTAATCCTTTTCTTCTATGTTCGTTTCTTTTTTGTTTTCTGTTTTGCATTTTCTCTGATTACGCGGTGTACGTGCTTTTGCTGTTTGTTTCGATGAATCGTTTTCTCCCCCTAGGTAGTGATTCAGGGGATCTCAGGTAGCTTTATTCGCTGAAATTGTGAACCCTAAGTAGTTTTAGATGCTGATTTGGAGTTCAAGCGTTCCCTTACTTGATTTGTCGATATTGTTCTCTGGATTTCATAAAGACGAGCGAGAAATGTTAACGGGTCACAGAAAAACATTTTAGATCTTATCTGTATCTGATGCGTCGGAGCCTCCAACGTTCAGGTCATTCTTGACCTGGTATTGTTCATGTGAAAAAGGTCTGTCTTGAAATTCGCTTGGTTGTTTTGTGTGTGTGTGTGTGTGTGTGTTTAGGTTTTTGAAGTCGTTGGATGGTGTTATCATAGAATATTCATCATTTTATATGCGTGTTGCTCTTAATTTTTTGCAGTATGTGATGATTGTGCTGAAGGGATCAGTGCCTATGGCTTTTGGTGGAACAGAGCAGCCTGCAGCTTATGGCGAGCTGGTGTCTATCGGTGGCCTTAACCCAGATGTGAACAAGAAGCTAAGCGCCGCAATTTCTGCCATTCTGGAGACCAAGTTGTCAGTGCCCAAATCTCGATTCTTCCTCAAGTTCTACGACACTAAGGTAAAAGCCACCTCTCTGCCAAGAATATGCACAATGTCTGCACGCATAGAAACAACCCTTTTGTGTAAGTTCATCATGAGCAATCTCTTAGGACGTTCGTACCAAACCAGACAGCCTTGTCACATCAGATGAGACCCCCCTGCCATTGTTGTTCAGGTTTTGGTTTGTGCCTCTCATCCCATCTAGGTGGTGTAGGGGTTTTCCTACCTCAGCTTTCCTGATCAACCGAATGGGGTTTTCCTTACTTGTGCAGGGTTCCTTCTTCGGCTGGAACGGATCGACCTTCTAGCTCAAGCCTTGTCACATTAGATGTAAAATGTGCATGATATTGCGTTGTAGCCTCCCTGTTGTATGACGTGGTGCTATTTCCCAAAGACAATTCGCTGTGCTGATTTCCATTCTTATTATTGGTCAACTTCTCCTTGAGAATTATTTCGAATATTATTTCCTATTTCAATTCTCCCAGCCCTTTGTTTTGGAACCAAAGGCGAAGGGTACAAATATTACTCTCCACCGTCCCCCCCACGCTTTCGGGCGCGATATCCCCTCTCTTTCTCCTCTTCACGCTATACTCTCTCTCCTTCCATATATCTCCCGATCCTTTCTTCATCCAGAGAGAGAGAGAGAGAGAGAGAGCGCATGGCGTCGAAGGCTCATCCGGTGCTTCCGATCTATACGGGCGCCACCGCATCGACTCGTCCTCCCGCCGTCTCCACCACGGAATCCCAACCTCAGTCGACTCTCGCCGTCGTTAGCCGCGTCGCTGAGTCAATCCGTAGTGGCCTCTCCCGCCGGCGCCCGTGGACTGAGCTCGTCGACCGATCCGCCTTCGCCAGGCCGGAGTCTCTATCCGATGCGGCGAATCGGTTCCGGAAGAACTATTCCTATTTCAGGGTGAATTACGCCTGCGTCGTCGCTTTGACTGTTGCTTTCTCTCTCTTCAACCATCCTTTCTCTCTCTTCGTCCTCCTCTTCATCGTCGCTTCCTGGATGTTCCTCTATCTCTTTCGCCCCTCCGATCAGCCTCTCGTCCTGTTCGGCCGAACATTCTCCGAGCGAGAGACTCTCGGTGGGCTTATCCTCACGAGCATCTTCCTGATCTTCCTCACCAGCGTCGGATCCGTGCTGATATCAGCTGTGATGGTGGGAGTAGCAGCGGTCTGCGTCCATGGCGCATTTAGGGTTACGGATGATCTCTTCCTGGAAGAACAAGATCCCGCAGCCATGGGGTTCCTCTCCCTCCTTGGCGCCGGCGCAACCCCCGCTTATCCGGCGCGTTCCGTCATATAAAACAGCTACGATCTCTGGTACTTGCTCTCATAAATTCGCTTCGGATTTTTTATTTTGAAAATTTTTGTAAACAAACAGGGATCATTAGATGAAAAGGGAAACAATGATTGCTTATATTCATATGATCAGAAGAGTCGTATCAATTGTCCTTGTAAATCTCCGTTCTCGTTTGATTTTTTTATTTTTATTTTTTTGGCAAATGCTTGTGATCCTTTGTGTGTTGTGGAAGAGAAGAGGTTATTGCAATGTAGAGTGCCCGTGAAGGAAGGAATTAGATGGCACTGCCATCAGATTCATCGCTGTATGTATTTTTCCATCTGCTATAAAACTTTTGATACGCTCGAAATTTAGAATGATTGTATTTGTGAGCCCTCACATATACATATACACACACACATATATATATATATATATATATATATATATATATATTATAGAATCAGAAAGAAAACAATGCCGACAGCCGAATGAGAAGTAACATTCGTGCTGTTTAGTGTTTTTAGCGTGGGTAGAAAACGTCACGCATGCCGCGATTGGCGAATCTATAGAAAGATTTTGGGCTTCCAATGCAAGGTTTTTGGGTTTTAAAATTTGGAAAACTATATTAATGAAATAGCTATCTAAGAATCAAACTCACTCCAAAGCCTTGATCTTGATTCTTGCACTCCGTTGCAGAGTAATTTTACTACTTTTGGTCATCCCTCTGAGCGTCGCTTTCGTTTCTCGCCATGGACAATCTTCCTCTCGATAGAATCGCCATATCAGGTCCCACATTGGCCCCTCTGCTCCAATCTCTCCGACGACTCGCCGGCGGAACCGTTCTCGTCGAGTTCCTCCTCCGCCATTTCGTCCTCTCAACTTGTCGCCACCGCCACCAGCTTTCTATGCTCAGACATGAGCGTCTCCTCTCCTTCTATGATCCGCTTGGCCGAGTCGACCGCCGCCGGATCACCTGCTCGGCTGGTTTTCATCGCGCCGGAAAACCGCTAATCGACCCTCGATGCGAGAATTCGGCGTCGCATCATCTCTCTCATCTCAATTTTCCCTCCCGATCGAGGATTCCCAAAACCCTAAGACCACGAACTTGGCCTCGTGCGTGTTTTTCCTTTTCACCACGCCATCGGCGCACCAATTCATCCACACGCACGAGTACCGGACGTACCAATTGCGCTCCTCTAACCAGCGATTGGAGTCGAAATCGGTCAATATAGTCAAACATCGGACCAGGGTTCCGTGGACATTACGGTACGTTTGGCCCAAATTCGGCATTTCCGCTTTTGAACCGCGAACTGAGGAGCTTGCCCATGAGCGAGGACCAAGACGAGGGGACCTTGAGCGCGAAGGAGCACGCGGCTAAGGATCAGAAGGAAATCAATGCATTAGCAGAAGGGTTTCAGGTGGGAAATCTACGTCGTCTGATGGGAGCCGAAGCTGCGAACTACACCGTCGGATTGGAAGAATTGTACGAAAGGATGCTCATCAAGATGGAGAGCGTAGCTTGACATGTTGAGAAGAGATCGGCCAGGGTATTTGAACAGGTACAAAATCGTTTAAAGCTAAGAATTCACGTGGGTTTGTCCGGTATACGATGTCGCAGGTTGTTTGCTTCTCTTTTGGTGCTGTCTGTGAATGGACCGAGGAAATTGTTTATATAACATGTTATCTTTTTCTTGCAGGAAAATCAAAATAGGAAGTTGAGATACAGGGTCGCCAGAATGGAGCAATGAATTTCCTTTGGTTTGATTTTTTTTGTGGTGTCAGGTGATTTTTATTGTCATCTAGCATTTAGTTGAATGAAATAGACATGTGCGGAGGGTTTGTATGGGTGCTGAGCGATAGGGAAGTAAGACTTGAGCAGAATTATGGAGTGGGGAATGTTAACCAGGGAGGAGAGGTGTTAGACTTGGTCAAGTAGATATGGCATGGTTTGGTTTGGTTTAAGAAGAAGGAAGGTTATTGTCCATGGAACACTTTGAGATTCAAATGGGTTAACATTACTAGACTATCGATACAGAGTTCTGTCCTGTTTAGTTATCCAATAGACCAAACTGAAGCTGACATCTTATCCCAGGAGTAGGGGTTGGTTGGAACGATTCATTGCATCTATTCTTCTACTATAAGATGTTGGTTCGTGGTATGATAGAAGAAGATAGTTGGTTCTCACTAACGTTTTCTGCTGCATTAGCATATAGAAATCCTGAAGACCAAGAATGATCCAAGTGCAGAAAGGAAGATGGTGAATAATAAGCGATGGCTTTGAATGACGGATGGGAGCCCGGCCACCTCTTTTCAGTTTTCAGGTATATATATGAATTGCCCCCGAATCTTGATGTTTCATGTTGAGGTCTTGAGTGCTGGCTAATGCTTGGATTTCCGCATTGTGGCAGTGCCTACACCACAGTCGGTTGTTTCTGTGTGGAAGATAAAAGAAGAGCTGTCTGAATTTTTTATGTATTGGTCTCTGTTGGATGATGCGAGCGCCGAGACGTGAGACACTAATCTCGATGTTAGACAAGTAATGTATGCCTTGCTCCACAAGCTCATTCTCGAATGAATTCCAATTACTCGTAATAGCTCGCCACGTCATCAATCGAAAGGGTTTCTTTCGTATTCGGCCCACAGGCCTTTATGAGGCTCTCATAAGTCCAAGTCTTCGTGGGCCCATCGCCCCTCTCTGTCCTCTCTCTGACTTTCCCGCCTTCTTCTATTCCATATTTTCTCTGATTTGGGAGATGGAACATTCCAGTTTCCGGTTTCTCGCGTGGTTAGCTTAAGAGTCTACATACATGCGTAATCGCGGAGCACCACCGAGGTTTTAGTTACGTCACGGAACCCTATAGACTCTGGAATAAATGTCCACTTGGCAGATTGTCTCCGGCGCCGGCATCGATGGTTTCCGGTGGGAAGTCGGTGGCCGTATCATCCTGTCTGACTCCGATTCTTCCCTCTCTGCTGCTCCTCTTCCTTCCATGTCTGATCTATTGCTCCAAGGTCACCCCTCCCGCTCTCCCCCCTTCTTCTGTGATGTTGGTACCCAAGCTAATTATCATTGTAATGCAGGATGCTCGGAGCTTCTAGATCCTGAAGAAGCGGTGTCTGGGGAATTGCCCATGTTCAGGACCGGGTCGGGGAAGTCTGTTGCCCTAAAAGAGTCTTCCATTGCTAGAGCCATGTCATTTCTTGCCGACGATAAGTTTGCTAATTCAGGTGCGTCATTGGCTATGGATATTTTTCAGAACCAGAATCGGGTTTTGTTAACCGAATGTGTGTAGAAATTCTCGAGTGGTTCATTACTTTCTTGGATATAATTTGGATAAAATTATGGTCTGCGTCTCTTTGCAATTTCCAGTTGTCATGCAATGACCATACACTTTGATAATAGTGTCTATCATTTAAATGAGTTCCATATTGTTCGCATCTCTCTACATCAGTTCTTATTTGAACGATGGCTACTTGCACCTGAAACAATAGGTTCATTTCTTGTTAGCACCGCCTTCAGATGGCTCTGTTTAGTGTTTCCTGTTTTTTTTAATGCGCTTTAGAGCCATTGCACCGTACAGGGTACTCCAAGCTCCACGAGAAGCTTTGCCTTTATTCAGAACAGCCTCTGGGAAATCCGTCCCACTGAAAGAATCTTCTATCACCAAAGCTTTGTCTGTTCTTGGAGATGATAATATGGCTCTTTCTGGTTTGTTATCCCTTTCCTTTTATCATATCTTTTGCGCTATAATTTTAGCAATAAATATACTTTGTATCATTCCATTCAACATTTAAGTAATTTCGTGTAAATCATTAAACATGTCAGTTTGTTAGACTTTGCATTTGGTAGAGATACCATCCTGGGCATAAATATTAAAAGTTCAGCTGAAATCAGCTGGTAGGCTATAACAACTTGACATACCATTTCCATTAGCCTTTTGTTAAAAGGGACTGGCATTAGAGCTGGAAATTGCCCAATAGCTGGTATGTTAACCAAGCTTCAACATTTGTGCAGATACGGTTCTTGCTGGAGAGAGCAGATTAGGTTTCACAAACTCGTTTTTTCAGACGGGTTCTGGGAAGAAGGTAGGTGTATCTTGTGCTGGTTTTGCAAGAGCCAAGGTATTGCTAGGACTAGAAGAAGACAATATGAATGGCTTTAACCATGTGAAGGACTTGTCTTCTTCACGCAAGCAGCATCGGTTGGTTGGGTTGGAAACTCGAAAACAGTCTGATGCCGCATCAGTTCTGAGTCATTCAGGTACTCTTAAGCTATATGAGGGTGATTTGTCAAGGAAGCAACCTGAAGTTTTAAATACAAGTTCAATGGTGCCTCCAATAAAATTTCGTACTGCTGGAGGCAAATCATTGTCAGTTTCAAGTGAGGCACTGAAACGTGCAAGGAACCTTCTAGGGGATCCTGAGTTGGGAAATTTCTTAGAAGATGTAGCGGTTGATGACAAATTCTTTACACCACAAAATGATCAGAGATCAGATGATATTACAATAAACAATGGAAGTGGCAGCTCTGGGTATTTTAATCATCAAGGAAAGTCAAGCAACAAACACACATCTATATCTCCTCCACAGTCATCTTCCAAGCAATTAAGATCTTTAGTTAATCCAGGAAACCTAACCACAGGGAGTAATTTAATCAAGAAGTTTGATGCTGCTGCCAGTGAGAAAGATTGTGCGCTGAATGTTACTGGGCCTGCCATGCAGGAGCTATTGCGCAACAAGCTTTCAGTGTCAGATTTTTCAGTAAAGAATTCCAAGGAAATCATTTTCAGCTCAAGAATTAAACAATTTGGAAGACCAGCTGACCGGGCACTTGCTGATATAACAAATTCCAGTAGCACAGCTTATGCAGACAATAAACAAGCCAGTAAAGGGCAGTCCGGTGCACAAAGCGTCCCCGTTGAGCGGGGATCTGGGGAAGGGTCCCACCACAATAAACAAGCCAGTAACGAAAAGAAAAGATTGGGCCGTACAGCTTCCGTTTCTCCTTTTAAAAGGCCACGGAGCTCCATATTTCATACTCCTTTGAGGAAAAACGTTCAGCATGCTCCAAGTGGTAAAATCTTTTTTCTTTTTTAATAAAAAATGGTTAAATCTTCTGGAATTTGGATGTGAATTTATTTGGCTAGTCCTTCATGATTCTTTGCGCTATCCTTCTTTTGACAGGTTTATCTGTTGTATCTTCGGATAATCCATGTTCCAAAAGAGTTATATCTACTCGATACCCACATAGGATTCAAAGAGTATCTATGAAGGAATATTTTGGAATGCATCCCTCAACTGAGGCCAAGGTTTCGTGTTTTGTGTAGTGCGCTTGTTTCTGAATTATACAATTTTTGTAATGTCCCTTCTCACTCAACTTCCTGTGTGATTTCAGTTAGATCATTTGCCCGACCAGGTCAGAAGAATCACATCAAGTAATGCAGATAACTATGTTTTCTGTGATACTTGTGGCCCAAACATGATTGGGGTTGAATCTTTTCTCCAAATGTTGGCTGAATCTGGTGCTTCCTTGCAACATGCTTCTAGAGAGTAACTTCTATCTCTGGAACTGTCGCATTGCCTACTTTCATTCCTTCACACGAGAAAAAGTCTGTCATCATATCTTGCTAGTAGTTTTCATTGCTTTTGATAAGCAAGTAACAATTATTAAGCACTTCATGGGTGGTCTTTGGCTGGGTCGATCTCATTCTCTGCCTCAAATTAAAATTTTTAATATTTATCCATCCAGTATCCAAAAATCGATGTCTTGCATCCAGATCTATTTTTTCAACTGTATGGTAATTGAGATGTGCTGTCCTTTATATCCATTGATTTTCAGTGTTTGTGTCCTAGGTGGGTCACCAATCACTACAGGTGGGTTGTTTGGAAACTTGCATGTTATGAGAAATACTACCCAGCCAAATGCGCTGGAAAAGTTTTGACAATCCCCAATGTCTTTGAGGAGCTAAAATACAGGTATCTTGAGCACACATAACAAATCAGTGTGTTTTTGCTTATACAAAGTCTATAACATTTTGAATCTACTTACATAGATACGAAAGAGAAATAAATCATGGTCAATGCTCTGCAATTAAGAGAATTCTGGCTGGGGATGCACCAGCTTCTTCGATGATGGTGCTCTGCATATCAGCTATTCATCCGAAGAGCAATGATGGATCTTGGGAGACAAATAGTTCTGATAATAGCAACAATGTGAAAGTAGAACTAACTGATGGATGGTAAGGAGTTGTTCACTGGCTCTCGATACCATGTATATTAGTTTCATGTCATCTTGAAATTTTTTGGCCCACAGGTATGCAATGGATGCGGCTCTTGATGTCTGGCTGACGAAGCAGCTGCATGCTGGAAAATTATTTGTAGGGCAGAAGCTCCGGGTAAGTGTTTTATTTCTGCAATGTCCAAATTTAATGCTTTGGCAAAATCAATTTGGTTGGAGCGCTCTCATCTGCAGTCAGCTTATGTTTGATTTCTCACATGAAGATCTGGGGGGCAGGACTCTGTGGCTGGGTTGGACCAACATCGCCTCTAGAGGTTTCTAAGGCCTTGGATTCTGGTTAAGTTTCTGAAGCGTTTCTGTGTGGGGCTCTTTATGACGTTGTTTAATTGTGTTTTCAGACAGTTAATAAAAATATGATTTATTTGCTCTTGAACACTAATGGAACACACAGAGCTCACTGGGGAGACCGACTTGGATTCTGTGAGCATTTTCTGTGCTTTGCATTTTTCTACTTCCTAGGAGTCATCTTACTTGCCCATAATCACTATTTTCTCAATGATTTTTCTAGGTAAAGGAGTTGGTAGCCCTCTGTCCTTCAGCTGTATAAAGAGCAATGGAGGTCTAGTTCCTAGAACATTAGCGGGAATAACACGAATATACCCTATGCTGTACAAGGAAAGGTCAATAAAAATTTAATATTGATTGATGATGCAATTTGGTCGCATGTATAATTAGTTCTTGCATGCACTCATCTTTGCTTGGTACATTCAGGTTAAGTACGGGGAAGTCCATAGTTCGATCAGAGAGAACTGAGAGTAAAATGGTTCAGCTGCACAACCAGAGGCAAGTCTACATCTGCCGAGTTTCTCTCAGAGCTACAGACAGCATTTTGAGTAACATATAATGAATATCTAACACAAAGCTGGAATTCTTTTTGTGTAAAACAACCTTAGATATCTTATTAGCTGGTTTATGAGACTAGCATAAACAATAAATGACCTCTGCCCTTGGGGAGATGTGGCCGAAAGAAAATGTTATGTGGATGGCTTTTCTACTACTTTAGTCAACCGGCTTTGTTTCTCAAGCCTATTTGTTGGCTGATGAATGTCGAACATGATGGCCCTCATGCCTTTCTCATTATTTTTTTTTTCTTTTTGACATTTGCCTTAGGCGTTCAGCTCTTGTTGAAGGTCTTATATCTGAGTTCCAGAGGGGGATCTGTGGTTTCCACAGCCAGAATGAAAGTGACAGCGAAGAAGGAGCCAAGAACTTCAGGCTTCTGGAGAATGCCGCTGAACCTGAGGTCCTTATGGCGGAAATGAGTCCAGAACAATTAACTTCTTTCACTGTATATAAAGCAAAGTTGGAGGTAGAGATTTTATTTTCTTCTCTGAGAGACTGTTTAGCATATAAGTCATTGATTGCATCAAACCTGAACCTTAGGCAGCTAGGCAAAAGGAGCTGAACAAATCAATAGAAAAAGCTCTGGTGGATGCTGGCTTAGGTGTAAGGGATGTCACTCCATTCATGAGAGTCAGGGTGGTAGGACTAACTAGCAGGAATTGTTCGGGAAAGCACAAGCCAAAAGAAGGCATAGTAACCATCTGGAATCCCACGGAGAAACAGGTATGTACGAATTTCCTATATCTATGCATTCCATGCTTTTACAGTTGCATGGATGGTTGAGTGTCTGTCGTTTCTATTTGTCTTTTGACAGTTTGTAAACATTATATAGTTCCGCATTGACCAAATATGGGATTTTTATATAGCTTATAAGTTTATGGACCCCCTCCCCTCATTCTGATCATGGACTTGTGGGAGTTGGTAGTTGACCTGGTATATGCTCGGGTCCACATTGTGGGAGGGAGGACCTACGTAGCCCAGCGTTGAAAACTTGATGATGTTATGATCCTATATCTGTCAAAATGTTTATGATGATTTATTGCGATATTCTTCATATCATGCATTATGTAAACACTCATCTTTTTCACGACTTAAACAGAAAACTGAGCTGACAGAGGGGCACATATATAGTATCAAGGGACTAACACCAATGAACTCAGATTCAGAAACACTTTACTTGCAAGCCAGAGGGCCTAGCACAAGATGGCAGCCTCTGTCACCAGAAGCTTCTCGAACATTTCAGTAAGTTGTTCAGATGCTTTCTCGTCAGATACACCTGAATCTGGCTGATATGTGTTTCATTCTGTTTTCTCTGCTTTTAAGGCCTTTTTTAAATCCCCGTGAGTCTGCCTGTTTGTCAAATCTGGGTAAAATTCCTCTTTCCAGGTGAATATATCCCTCATTGCAATGCTTTCTCGCATCTTTTGCCTACATACGTTGCGAAACGGTGATTAACATATTTCTATGTGTTTAGTGAATTTGATATCGTTGCCTACATTGTATACGTTGGAGAAGCTGTTAAGGTTCAGAATCTGAAACTCAACTTTCCAGCACCAATCGAGCCTTTATTCCTCACCGAAAACCTGAATACAACTTTGGATGATCTTGTTTTATGAGAGGATCCCAACTCTCATTCCCCAAACAAACCCTAACCCTTTCTCCAATTTCTGCGTAAATCCTTTTCCCCCAATCTAATCTGTATTTATAACTACTCATAGCCAAGACTACTAACTAACTAATAGTAACAACCCAAACAACTCATACTAACTATAGTCCAGATTCAATGAATCTACCTAACCCATACATCTATCAATACCGCCCGCCTCAGTTTCAGCTTGTCCTCAAGCTGATGATCTGGAATTCGTTCGTTCAAATCTTCGTCGACTGCTAACTTTCCGAGCGTAGTATAATGGCTGTCCAAAATCTGCTTAAGCTCCACTAACCATTCCAAGTCTGCCAAAAGTTGTTTTTG